ATGACATAAGATGCGTGTCACTGTCACATTTCCATTATCTCTTGTTCGGTGATACAGACATGTGAGTATAAGATCAGATCGATAGCTTATAATCTCTTACTGCTTCATGCACTACTACACAGCATGCATATTTGTGGATGCAAGACACCAAAAAATCCTTTCGCCCGCGCCAAAGTTTATTCCGTTAAACGTTCATGTATATTCATCGTCATTTTTCCATTTCAGCGGTCATATACTTCTTTCTTTAACGTGGTGAGGTTCAGAAAACTACAAAACAGAGCTGAAGACTTGCTGAGTAAATTATTCCTTAGAGCAAAACAACATGAAAATTCTATTAGAAGTAGATTACTTCAAAATTAACATTTATAAATTAAATGAATAAAATGTACAATTTAACAAAACCTTTAGATAATATTACCTTATTATGCATTAAAGTATATTATAATAGCAAACAATGCTACTTACAATGCTACTACTACTACTACTACTGCTGCTGCTGCTGCTGCTGCTACTGCTACTGCTACTGCTACTGCTGCTACTGCTACTGCTACTGCTACTACTACTGCTACTACTACTACTGATACCTCCAGTGCAGATTCGGGTTAAAATTTGTCTTCACTAACCCATGCTTGTCTTAAGAGGCAACTAACGGGATCGGTTTGTCAGACTCGCTGATTTGGTTAACAAAAGTCATCGTGTATCAGTTGCGTAGATCAATGATCATCATGTTCATCACTAGATTGTCTGGTCCAGACTCGATTATTTACAGACCGCCTCCATATAGCTGGAATATTGCTGAGTGCGGCTAAAACTAAACTCACTCACCCACTGTGATAGTTCAGTGAACTAGTTAAACTAATAAATATAGTTCCAATTAGAATTCATTGTGTCATACAAATGGAAAGAAAATACTTTGTTCAATTTGAGATTTCATTTATATTTTGACGTTAGGTTTCCATATCATTAGAAACTGCGCTACGGCAAAAATGATGGTGCGACAATATCATCATTGTCTATAGTATTGAAATACATGCCTATAGTCTTGAAATAGATGCCTACAATCTTGAAATATATGCCTATAGTCTTGAATAGATGCCTACAATCTTGAAATATATGCCTATAGTCTTGAATAGATGCCTACAATCTTGAAATACATGTCTATAGTCTTTAAGTACATGCCTATAGTCTGAAATAGATGCCTACAATCTTGAAATACACGTCTATGGTCTTGAAATACATGCCTATGTTCTTGAAATATACTACCCATGAAAAGTTTAGACTCACTCATGAATTTCTCCACTAACTTGGGGGGAACCAACTGCAAACCTTATGAAGATTAATTGCACGAGGATCATTCATCAAATTGCTGAAGAGCAGGTGCAAATATCGTGCATGTGAACAGCTGCGTTTTGGCGTAAAGTTTTGTTCAGAACTCGCTAATTTTCACTGAGTTTCATCATTTATTGATCTCATGACAATACTCTTTTCAACGTTACGAATTTGTTTTCCAATACATCAGTTCATGTGTAAACAGTACCTTTAAACAGTATGGAACATTTTTCAAAATCTAGTGTAGAACAGTTCACTAAAGTAAGTGGCTATATTTACACTAGTGAGTCGAAACCTTTAACGGGTAGTATACATGCCTATAGTCTTGACATGCATGCCTATAATCTTCAAATACACATCTATGGACTTGAAATACATGTATTTCAACAACGAAATAACGGGGGGCACAGCAAAAGCTTTTGCAATCATCGTTGAATGACTGATGAATTATGAGGTTGGTGTTCATTTAGGCTGTGCCGTGTTATTTACGACAAATAGTTTGACAAATGACACCCAACGACTATCGCTAGCCTCCAGTCACAGGGCTACACGTAGCAGTGGCTTTGACCTGACAAATAGACCACGCTACTATTAATGAACTAAGTGTAATGAAAACTCTGATGGAACATAAAATTAACCCACGCAGACCAGCTGACCTATCTGTGCAAACAATCCGGATATTGTGCTTGTACCTGTCACTAATGTCAATTTTCAGTCGTTGTAAAATGACCGGAAGTTCGTGCTTTATGACATCGTCATTGCAACGCTAGTGGTATTGTAAACTGCCAGCGTAATAATCTGCACAATTTTGGCGATTTACGAGGGGTTATTTAGATGAAGTCAATAAATAGCTTTCGTGAAAATACTAATACCTGATTATTGATCACGCTCAACCTATACCGATTGTGTGATGGACACATATGTTTCTGGAAGCGATAAAAATGTCACCTTAAATGATCTTTATTTTAATGTTAAAGAAAGTAGAAGTATAGAGTTTTCTAAAATGAAAATTGAATAACAGCTCATGTTAAATTGATTTCGACTTATTAACCGTCACTCATTCCAGTTTGCAAAAACAACCACCTGTCCTTATGTACGTTTGTGTAAAAATATATTGGTTGAAGAGGGGTTGGAGTAAGGAAATCAAACAGCATGAACAGTATCTTAACGGTATCCTTCTTGGTTTACATACATTTTTATTTATCTTTATTATCATTTTCATCAGCGTACTTATTCTTTCCACTGGTGATATTTTATTGATAAATAATAGTAGCCTAATACTGGTGCCTTAGTTTGTTTGTTTGTTGTTTAAATCCAGTGATCAACATGTGCAGTTATCACTGCAAACATGACGTCCAAAACACAACTATGAGAGCCGTATTAAATACATCACTACCGAATAATCACTTCTTGTGTGTTTGTTCAAACACCTACCTACAGGTACTAATATTTGGAGAGGCAATATATATGGGCATCAGTACATATCAGTCGTGTTTACATGTCCACTGATGGGTGTGTCAATGCGCCATGGACTGTGGCATTGCGAGATGCTTCCTATACATGATTCAGGCTCTTACAATTTTGGTTTGCTGATACACATTTCAAAGCATCCAGTTCCCATTATCGATTCAGTCGAATGTGTGAGTGAGTTTGGTTTTACGCCGCTTTTAGCAATATTCCAGCAATATCACGGCGAGGGACACGAGAAATGGGCTTCACACAGTGTACCCATGTGGGGAATCGAACCCGGGTCTTCGGCGTTACGAGCGAACGCTTTAACCACTAGGCTACCCCACCGCCCCAGACCTTAAGAAGCATGCTAACCTTGTTGATGTCAAGTTAATTCTGTTCATGTTTCCTTAAGTAAACATAAAAACATGGGATAGTAGGGTGTCGAAAAGAACAGATGATCGATGAGTCGCGTTCTCCCTTCCCAGTCTTCCTCTAGAGATCAACACGATATATACAAATATGAAATATTGATCGAAGGTCAATTTGACCGACGTACCAATAATATACCTAACGCGATCGTGTAAAAATCATGTTGGTTCAGATAATGGATGTACCATTATAAGTGTTTGGCTATCCAAAGCATATTCTGTATCCATACGATCTCAGCACACAAAATCCATATCTTGTTGTTTGACTGTCAGTCTTTCAAGTGTCTCCTTTTTTGCTGATCGAAACTATTAGTCGACGTGAAAGCATCGTTTGTTTACGCGTCCATTTTCCACCCAACTACCTTAAACGATTAGTGGATTTACTTGTTGCTGAAATACTAAACTCTTCAAACGTGTGATACCTTAAGGCAAAGACTAAAGCCGATTGTTCAACACCCACAAGCATTTAATGGTCCATACAATTGTTAGGTGAGTACTCCTTTAGAATTCAATCTTCAGATTCATAGTAGGTTTATTTCAGAAATAAAATAACTATTTCAGAATATTTCATTGCAGTCATCCTTCTGAGGGAAACGACTTTTTATGTAAGCAATAATATAAGATACAAGGAAAGAGGTATTCTTGATTACTTTCAATCTTTATAAACTTGAAAAGTACGGTTCACGTTAGCATGTTATATGCATCTTGTACTTAAACGGAGTGGTAGCCTTGTGGTTAAGGCGTTCTCTCGTCACGCCGATGACCCGACTTCTATTCCCTACATGCGTACAATGTGTGGATCCCATTTCTGGTGTCCCCGGTCGTGATAATCCTGGAATATTGCTAAAAGCGTCGTAAACGTAGACTCACTCACTCACAGTACTTAAACATGATACCAGTATCATGTGTTAGAAGTTATACAAAACACCAAGGATGGATACGAGTGAGTAAGTGAGTGTATAAGTATGGCCTCACGCCGCTTTTAGCAGTATTCCAGCAATATCACGGCGGGGGACACCAGAAATGGGCTTCACACATTGCACCCATGTGGGAATTAAACCCGGGTCTTCGGCGTGACGAGCGGACGCTTTAACCACTAGGCTATCACACCGCCCCGTTTAAGTACAGGGTACCCGGGTTCGATTCCCTACCCGGTACATTGCGTGAAGCCCACTTCTGGTGTCCCACGCCGTGATATTGCTGGAATATTGCTAAAAGCGGCCTTAAACATACTCACTCACTATTAAGAAATAGCGCCACAAATTCCTAACGAAACACACTCCTCGTTTTGTGTTCGTTCATCATATTATGATTAAAACCGGAGTGGTGGGGTATCCTCGTGGCTAAAGAGTTCGTGGCTCATTTCTGGTGTCCCCTATCCCAGGCCTATGAAAGAAGACTTTCCCACTGTGCAGAAAAACGCTGAATAGTCCACATTAATCGTGGAAACAGCAACATATTGTTTGAGTACCCTGCACCCTCTTATCATATGTTGGAAGCGGTACGTGTGACCTTCTTGAAGAAAATACGGTATTCCTGTTATCTTCACAACGTTATGTCTGCATCTTGGAAACGATATCAATGTCTCAAAAAGTAGAAGTGAAGATTAGGACCTACTAGAAATGATGCTTTTCATATTCCCAGGTTCCACATTCGCATCAGGATGTGGAAAACAAATAATTATGCCATGATATGTTTTCAGATTGAAATAAAAATAATGAATTACTGGCGAAATATTAATTGTCCCTTGCCTACTGTACAACCATTTTGACTGGGTGTCTGTTTCTGCAGCAATAAGGCTTCACCTGTACGGGGGCGCTGACGTAAGATGGACAGAGAACCACACTTCCGGGACAGGAAAGAACCGGAAGACGGTGACGAAGATCTATTCCGTCACCGAGACCTACATCAACTATGTATTCGTGCTGTTTGGAAAAGGTATCTGGATGAATGCATGTTTTGTACCACCCTGCATCCCAAGATGTTAAAAGCATTTAGCTAATGAGTGAGTGAGTGATTGATTGAGTGAGTTTAGTTTTACGCCGCACTCAGCAATATTCCAGCTATATGGCGGCGGTCTGTAAGAGGCGACTAAAGGGATCGGATGGTCAGGCTCGCTGGCTTGGTTGACACATGTCATCGGTTCCCAATTGCGCAGATCGATGCTCATGTTGATCACTGGATTGTGTGGTCCTGACTCGATTATTTACAGACCGCCGCCATATAGCTGGAATATTGCTGAGTGAAGCGTAAAACTAAACTCACTCACTCACGTAAACATTCTGCACGTCACGAAGGCCAGGATTCGATTTCCCACACGGATATATTGTAGTTTTTGTCAACTTATTATTTTCACGACATCTATTCCAGCACGGTACCCAAGTCAGTACTATAAATCAGGCTGCTCGTGAGTTTTGACAAGCATTAAGCCATTCCCTAATATCTCAAAATTTAAGAATAAATTGCTTTTGTCTGATTCAGCAAATACCTTGTATGAAATTCATTTCTTATGTCTTCGCAAAATACCCGGAAGACATTTGATAAGATGTTAGAAATAATGAATCACCTCCAGCCTTTGTAACTGTTTATACGTTCTAGGTTGCCAAAACAAACTGTCAATTTGTTATTCACATTAGTTTTCAAACACAACAATATGATGCCTCTAGATAGGAAATGCACGAAAAGACGGATCGTATTAGGTATTGTATTATGTGTCTCACGGTTTATCGTATTTTCTCTGACAACAGCACCAAATGTACCGGGTATCTGTACAAGGAGAGGGTTAGATGCTTTACCAAAAAGGTACCTTGCATGTACTATGGAGCATTTTGACATCACTTTGCCCATGAGACCTATTTAGCCTTTTTCATGATGATTACTTTAAACATATTATTATTCAGGATTTCAGCGTTTCATTGTGAAGCTCATTTTTCAATAACCCATCACCAAAACGTCACGACATACGATGCAGTAAACTGTCATTTCTTTGCTCGGGTTGTTAATTAACCGATTGTTGTTTAAGGGTTAAGGGTGCACATAAAGTGGAAGCTCTGTTTTCGAAATAGCATAATCACGTATGTGACTGACTTAGATTTAACTTTTATTACATATTGTATTATTTAACCAGTTTTGTACGACCTTAGTTGTTATATGTTATTATGCTTTTATTTTGAAATACCGAGTGTCGACATATCGAAGCAATTGTGCAGCTTTCCAATTTGTCTTCGATTGTGGATGGTTATTGTATTATTGTATCCTGTTGGCGAATGGCGACATCGGGTGCTTAATACATGTTATCGTATCTCAATTGCTTAGATCGATGCTCATGACATCAATCACTGGATTGACTGGCCCAGACTCGTTAAATGACTGATCTCCGTCATATACGTGTGAACGTACTGAGCGTTGCGTTAAGAACATTAACATGTTGGTGATGAGTGAGTGAGTTTAGTTTCACGCCTTTTCCAACAATAACACGGCGGACACAAGAAATGAGCCTCATACACTGAACCCATATCGGGAATCGAACCCTGGTCTTCGGCGTGACGAGCGAACGCTTTAACCACAAGGCTACACCACCGCCCTTGTTGGTGATGTTGTCGTAAGAGGCGACTAACGAGATCAGGTGGTCAGGCTCGCTGACTTGGTTGACACATGTCATCGTATCCCAATTGCGTGGATCTATACTCATGCTGTTGCAATTGATCACGGGATATTCTGGTCCAGACTCGATTATTTACAGATCGCCGCCATATAGGTAGAATATTGCTGAGTGCAGCGTAAAACTAAACTCACTCACTCACTGTTGGTGACGAGTGTTCATTCTAACTTCCAGAGCCACACATAGAAGGAGACAACCATTCTCTACCTGCAGGCCGCTACACATACCCCTTTCAGTACCAGCTCCCAGTTGGCATCCCCTCCTCGTTTGAGGGTACGGTAGGGAGGGTGCGGTACTGGCTCAGTGGAACCATTGACAAGCCATGGAAGTTCGACCACACAACGAAGAAAGCCTTTACAGTGATTAATCCACTGGATCTCAACACCGAGCCTGGGAGTATGGTAGGTTTTAATGCCAATGATTGTGATTACTGTGTGTTTTTGAAATTCGGACATTATTGCAGATGTTATCTACCATCTGTTTGGAGAAACCTTGATCATTTATAGAGCAAGATCGCATGAGGTGATTCTGCAACGTAAAACAACATGAATAGGTAATTGTTTATGTTCGTGAATTCAGAGCAATATTACAGTTGTTTTCAGTGTTTTCAAGTCATAACATTTTGATGTTGAGAATACAGCTCTATGGCTGATTAGGGCCATCCCTTATAGCCTTTAGATATCCACGCGATACCATGCCAAAGGGATAGTACGACGCGATATAAACAGTTAAAAACGACTTGGCGGTTACACGACACGACATGGCAATAACACGAGCCGACATGGAAATACTACGATACGATACGGAAATACCATGAGACAACATGGCAATACCACGAGCTGACATGGCAATACCAAGAGACGACATGGCAATAACACGAGACGACGCGGCAATAACACGAGACGACATGGCAATAAGACGATACGACGCACGGCAATAACACGAGACGACATGGCAATACCACGAGCTGACATGGCAATACATAGAGATGACATGGCAATAACACGAGACGACGCGGCAATAACACGAGACGACATGGCAATAAGACGATACGACGCACGGCAATAACACGAGATGACATGGCAATAAGACGTTACGACGCGGCAATAACACGAGACGACATGGCAATAAGACGATACGACGCACGGCAATAACACGAGACGACATGACAATAAGACGATACGACGCGGCAATAACACGAGATGACATGGCAATAAGACGATACGACGCGCGGCAATAACACGAGATGACATGGCAATAACACTAGACGAAATGGGAATAACACGAGATGACATGACAATACGACGACATGACAAAAACACGACACGACATGACAATACCACGACACGACACGACATGACAATAACACGAGACTACATGGCAAAACCATCATTCGACATGGCAATACCACGACTCGACACGGCAATACCACGAGACGACACGGCAATAACACGACACGACATGGCAATACCAAGAGATGACATGGCAATACAACGAGACGACATGACAATACCACGACAAGACACGACATGGCAATAACACGAGACGACATAGCAAAAACCATGACTCGACATGGCAATACCACGACACGACACGGCAATACCACGAGACGACGCGGCAATACCACGAGACGACATGGCAATAACACGAGCCGACAAGGCAATACCACAAGACGACATGGCAATACCATGAGACGACATGGCAATACCATGAGAGGACACGGCAATAACACGAGGCGACATGGCAATGCAACGACACGACACGGCAAAAACGCGAGGAGACCATATGACAATGACACGAGATGACATGACAATACCCCGACACGACATGGCAATACCACGAGACGACATGGCAATAACACGAGACTACATGGCAATAACACGAGACGACATGGCAAAACCATGACTCGACATGGCAATACCACGAGACGACATGGCAATACCACGAGACGGCACGGCAATAACACGAGACGACATGGCAATAACACGAGACGACATGGCATAACCATGACTCGACATGGCAATACCACGTGACGACATGGCAATACCATGAGACGACATGGCAATAACACGAGATGACATGGCAACACCTACGAGACGATATGGCAATAACACGAGATGACATGACAATACCACGACACGAAACAATACCACGAGACGAAATGGCGATACCACGAGACGACATGGCAATACCACGAGACGACATGGCAATAACACGGCACGACACTGACATAAGGCGATAAAGCGAAAAGCCTGACGAGTGGACATCTCAGGTAATATGGCAATGATATAACTAACCAATCAGCCACAATAGCGACAAGAATCCAATCCCAGTTTCTTAACTGTTACGATGATTGTATGTTACAGAACAAATACACTGGTGGTGTCGTCGTTACTCTTGCCTTTAGTCACTGGCTTGCTTGGTCCAGATTCGATTATTTGATTCGATTATCGGCCGTAGGTGGTTATTTTAATTTGACACTTCACTAATGTATCAAAATATTTTTCCACCTTTGTGGAATATATTATTTGTCATTGGTTTGCCTGTTCAAGATTCGAATCTCGAACGTATAACACACACTATAAGTATCTCAAAATACCCACCGGTAATGAGAAGAATGTTTTCGTGTTGACTGGGCCGTCATTGGATATTGCGATTTGAAACTTGAATAATGTATTAGAATCGTGAATATCCGGGTCAGAACTGTCGTAAGAGGTGACTCACATGATCGGAATTGGTCACGCTCGCTTAGTTGACTGACACATGTCATCGTATCCCCATTGCGAAGATCGATGTTCATGATGTTGATCATTGGATTATCTGGTCCAGACTGCGATTACTTACTGACCTCCGCCACACGGCTGCAATATTGCTGAGAGCTGCGTTAAACAACAAACAAACAATCCTGAATTGTGTAAATCTGTTTACAATTTAGGCTTTACCATAATTGTACATGAAGCAATATGCCGCAATACTATAATATTTTGAAGGGGACGTGATCTTTCACCAACCCTCATGACATAATTGTCTTTAACCGAGTACAGAAATATTCAAAAGATTGTTTTCTTTTCTGAAGTGGGCCGTTGTACGACGGGAGAATAAAATCATCGGATGTGAGCAAGGGAATTCAAAGACAGTTATAGATCTACTCCGTGTTCAAACTTGAAAATGAAAGGAAACCACTGTTGCATAAACAAACTTCTTTCTAATTAAAACAGGAACCAACCCTGACCGTGTCCCGTAATCGTTTCAGAAAAGTAAACTGGTTATTGATCCAACGTTAGGTTAGATAGTCCATTTGAATATATGTTAGTGTAGTTGTTTATTGACGACGTGAGAAACAAGGTCTAAGATCTAAGGTGAATGGATATTTATTATGTATGTGTTGTACTGATAACCGTTACAATAATTATCTTCAAACCTTTATATATTTATTCATTTGTTGTTTTTGGTCTCTCGGATGGTAGTTCAGCTTTTTGGATAACTGAAGCTAAAAGTCATGTATGGAGTTGACGACAACAGCAACCATTAATATGTGTGACAATCCATTGATAAAAAGACACCGGGACGGAGTAGGCTAACGCTTAGTCCCTGAATATATATAATTTTGATAGTAACAAATACACCCATTTAAATTGAAAAGGAGCCCGGGTGAGATGGGCGATTCAATCTGGGGAAATCTAGACTTGCCTCATTTAGGGGTTTAGCATTGCAGGGAGGGCTTGGCATTAAGGAAAATAATGCTGTTCAGGGACTGTGATACAGACTACGGGACGGAGTGGCCGCTCAATATGAAGTTTCAAAGAAAATTATTGAAATGGTTTAAAAAGATACGAATACTACTGAACGTTGTGGAGCTTTTGTACACAAAAGCGGTTTTTGAAAATAGTGACAGTATTGGAAGCAAAAGAATACGCGAAATGCATGGGACATTGACACGTTGACAAGTTTTGATACAGGCAGTGATCATAACTCATATGCATCTTTCACCGTGTGTAGTTTTAAGTTTTCATGATTCGAACCCTTGTCCAGCCTCAAGAACATAGGCTTTGTCTCGTTCCCGCTGCACCATAGAGAAACAGCGATGACACTGATTGGTGTTGTGTCCATCGATTTGAACGTTGTAAACATGGAAACCCGAATACAGCCTGGTTGGACGAGGCCTTAAGAGTGAGCGTGGGTTTACGCAGCTTTTAGCAATATTCCAGCAATATCACGGCGGGGGACACAAGAAATGGGCTTCAGGCATTGTACCCATGTGGGGAATCGAACCCGGGCCTTCTGTTTTGGTGTGGAAGTACACTCCCCAGTTCTGAAAAGCTGCACCCTTCCAATCTTTACAAAAAAGACGTATCCGAGACTGGCAGTGCATCTACGGGTGTCATTACTGTGAACCCTCGTTAGTCCTTTCAGACGATTACCGATGGAAATTCTCCATGATGATGAGTACAGCATTAACTGGGTTACAGATAGACGATTGACTTGCTCGTGTTCGTGATTGGTGTCTCCAGTGGGACAGGATACGCTAATGCCATTAAACAGTGATTTACAAATACAAGCTCATGACGCATTGGGATTCACATACTCGATTCTGTGTTGTGAGATTGCTTGTAAAGAGGTTTGTCCCTTTTAAGTCACTGTTGACAGTGACGCCAAATTGTAGGTTTGTGAGATGTATTTTACGTTGTATTTACACAACAGACAACTCCACTTTGTCGTGTATTTATTAAATCAACAAGGGCATTCTCTATGTATGAGTGAGTGAGTGAGTTTGGTTTTACGCCGCTTTTAGCAATATTCCAGCAATATCACGGCGGGGGACACCAGAAATGAGCTTCAAACAATGTACCCATGTGGGGATTCGAACCCGGGTCTTCGGCGTGACGAGCGAACGCTTTAACCACTAGGCTACCCCACCGCCCCATTCTCTATGTATAAATGTCTAACTGGCATGTTTAATTGTCAAGGTATTCGTGGATAGGCTGCTTGTTTCATTTTATTACATTTCCTCATAACTCCATAGGGATTCATAATTTTAATTTAAATGTATTATCTTCATGTAATTAGACGCCTCTTACGACAGGCATCCGTGAAGATCCGGGTTAGAATTGATCTTCAATAACCCATGCTTGTCGTAAGAGGGATCGGGAGGTCAAGCTCGCTGACTTGGTCGACACATGTCATCATATCACAATTGCGTCCCAGTTGATCACTTCATTGTCTGGTCCAGGCTCGAATATTTACAAACCGCCGCCATAAAGCTGGAATATTGTTGGGTGCGGCGTAGAACTGAACTCACTAACTCTTACGACAAGCATGGGTTGCTCAAGATCAATCAATTCTAACCCGGATCTCCACGGGTCGAATCTTCACAGAACGTTGTCATATTGGTAAGTACGATGCAACCTATATAACAGAAACAGGAAACTAAAAGGATCCCATTTTACCAATGTATAAACCAACATGATGCTGCACAGCGTGTGTAATTGGTATTGCAGGATGGAATACGAGGTGAAGGTCAGAAGACGCTGTGTTGCCTCTGCTGCAAATCTGGACCAATCAGCTGCACGTTCCAGATTGACCGCTGCGGTTATGTACCCGGGGAAACCATTCCTATCAAAGGCGAGATCATCAATCACAGCAATCGGAGAATGAAGAGGTCATATGCGCAATTATACATGGTCAGTAAAGGCGACAATCCTGGGGCACAAAACATTAAGGTACTGGTTCTACTCTATGAACTATTCCGTTTTGTTAAAGGACTGTAGGGTGTATTCCGTGGTGGATCGAGCGTTTTGTTATGGCACTGTTTCCACTAAAGGAAGTATTCCGTGGTGGATGGAGCGTTTTGTTAAGGCACTGCTTCCACTCAAGGAAGTATTCCGTGGAGGATCGAGCGGTTTTGTTAAGGCACTGCTGCCACTGTAGGAGGTATTCCGTGGTGGATAGAGCGTTTTGTTATGGCACTTCTTCCACTGTAGGAAGTATTCCGTTGTTGATCGAGCGTTTTGTTAAGGCACTGCTTCCATTTCAGGAAGTATTCCGTGGTTGATCGAACGTTTTGTTAAGGCACTGCTTCCACTGTAGGAGGTATTCCGTGGTTGATCGAACGTTTTGTTAAAGCACTGTTTCCACTGCAGGAAGTATTCCGTGGTGGATGGAGCGTTTTGTTAAGGCACTGTTTCCACTGTAAGAATTATTCAATGGTTGATCGAGCGTTTTGTTAAGACACTGCTTCCACTGTAGGAAACATTCCGTGGTGGATGGAGCGTTTTGTTAAAGCACTGCTTCCACTGAAGGAAGTATTCCGTGGTTGATCGAGCGTTTTGTTAAGGCACTGCTTCCATTGCAGGAAGTATTCCGTGTTGAATGGAGCGTTTTGTTAAAGCACTGCTTCCACTGCAGGAAGTATCCCGTGGTGGATGGAGCGTTCTGTTAAAGCACTGCTTCCACTGCAGGAAGTATTCCATGGTGGATGGAGCGTTTTGTTAAAGCATTGCTTCCACTGCAGGAAGTATTCCATGGTGGATGGAACGTTTTGTTAAAGCCCTGCTTCCACTGCAGGAAGTATTCCATGGTGAATAGAGCTTTTTGTTAAGGCACTGTTTCCACTGTAAGAATTATTCCGTGGTGGATGGAGCGTTTTGTTAAGACACTGCTTCCACTGCAGGAAGTTTTCCGTGGTGGATCGAGCGTTTTGTTAAGGCACTGCTTCCACTGTAGGAGGTATTCCATGGTGGATCGAGCGTTTTGTTAAAGCACTGCTTCCACTGCAGGAAGTATTCCATGGTGGATGGAACGTTTCGTTAAAGCCCTGCTTCCACTGCAGGAAGTATTCCATGGTGAATAGAGCTTTTTGTTAAGGCACTGTTTCCACTGTAAGAATTATTCCGTGGTGGATGGAGCATTTTGTTAAGACACTGCTTCCACTGTAGGAAGCATTCCGTGGTGGATCGAGCGTTTTGTTAAGGCACTGCTTCCACTGTAGGAAGCATTCCATGGTGGATGGAGCGTTTTGTTAAGGCACTGTTTCCACTGCAGGAACTATTCCGTGGTGGATCGAGCGTTTTGTTAAAGCACTGCTTCCACTGCAGGAAGTATTCCGTGGTGGATGGAGCGTTTTGTTAAGGCACTGCTTCCACTGTAGGAGGTATTCCTTGGTGAATAGAGCATTTTGTTAAGGCACTGTTTCCACTGTAAGAATTATTCCGTGGTGGATCGAGCGTTTTGTTAAAGCACTGTTTCCACTGTAGGAAGCTTTCCGTGGTGGATCGAGCGTTTTGTTAAGGCACTGCTTCCACTGTAGGAGGTATTCCATGGTGGATCGAGCGTTTTGTTAAAGCACTGCTTCCACTGCAGGAAGTATTCCGTCGTGGATGGAGCGTTTTGTTAAGGCACTGCTTCCACTGTAGAAGGTATTCCGTGGTGGATGGAGCGTTTTGTTAAAGCACTGCTTCGACTGCAGGAAGTATTCCGTGGTGGATCGAGCGTTTTGTTAAGGCACTGCTTCCACTGTAGGAAGTATTCCATGGTGGATCGAGCGTTTTGTTAAAGCACTGCTTCCACTGTAGGAAGTATTCCGTTGTGGATGGAGCGTTTTGTTACGACACTGCTTCCACTGTAGGAAGTATTCCGTGGTGGATGGAGCGTTTTGTTAAGACACTGCTTCCACTCAAGGAAGTATTCCGTGGTGGATCGAGCGTTTTGTTAAGGGACTGCTTCCACTGTAGGAGGTATTCCGTGGTGGATCGAGCGTTTTGTTAAGACACTGCTTCCATTTTAGGAAGTATTCCGTGGTGGATGGAGCGTTTTGTTAAGGCACTGCTTCCACTGAAGGAGGTATTCCGTGGTGGATGGAGCGTTTTGTTAAAGCACTGCTTCCACTGTAGGAAGCATTCCGTGGTGGATCGAGCGTTTTGTTAAAGCCCTGCTTCCACTGTAGAAAGTATTCCGTGGTGGATGGAGCGTTTTGTTAATGCCCTGCTTCCACTGTAGGAGGTATTCCATGCTGGATCGAGCGTTTTGTTTAATCCCTGCTTCCACTGCAGGAAGTATTCCGTGGTTGATGGAGCGTTCTGTTATGTCACTGTTTCCGCTGCAGGACGTATTCCGTGGTGGGTCCAGCATTTCTTTGAGGGGCTGCCTCCACTGTTTTCGTTTTTGGTTGTTTAACGCCGCCCTCAGCAATATTTCAGCTATATGACGGCGGTCTGTAAATAATCCAGTCTGGACCAGACAATCCAGTGATACACATTGTGAGTATCGATCTGCGCAATTGGCATACGATGTCATGCGTCAACCAACTCTGCGAGTCAGACCACCTGATCAGGATGGGTTGCTGAAGATCAGTTCTTACCCGGATCTTCACGAGTCCTTTCACTGTAGGAACATCTGACATTTCTTTAAGGCGCTGCTTCAACTGTAGGATGTATTCCTCGGTGGACCGGGTAGTTTGTTGCATAAAAAACTGCCGCTTTGGAATCTAAGGGTCCGTATTTTAATAAGTACGTAAAGTAAGAAAATATCTTATTTGAGTGTCACGCAGTATACATATATATATAGACATACAAACAGGACAGATTAAAATATATACCACCCGGCCAGTAGGCCTATGAGACACGAGGTGTCATGAGGTTCATAAAATATAATATTATACCAATCATATCATGTTAGGATGTGAATGTATCTTTACAGGCTGAAGCCTTTTATACAGTAAGTAGTAAGTACGTGTCACACAATATACGGACATACAGACAGGTCAAACTAAATATACTCTCCCAAAAAAGAAACGCATCATGAAAATAGCAATTTCATGTAGCAATGAATTGAAACGTGATTCAGTTTACAAAAGGTTTTGCACTGTTTATGAGTCCTATGTTGTTTATGTTTTGAAACATCACAACAAAATGCACCATCAGTAAAATACCCGTATTTAACAGCATGATTTTCAATTTCGGCGTGTAGTGTCACAGAATACACAATTCACATGCAATGCACGTGAAAGTTGGGGATCAGATAGTCTCAATGATGGGTATAAAAGGTTGATCGCTGTCTGTCGATTATTCACTGTATTTGGAATATTGTTGACGAACGCAAAATGCCACGTCTAAGTGAAGCCAACCGTCATATCGCCATTGGGTTGCTTGAAGCTGGCCAGTCTCAACGTGCAGTTGCCCGACGCATGAATGTTCACCAAAGCACCATTTCACGGCTCTAGGAGAGATATCGGCAGCAGAATTCGGTAAGAGATGCCCCTCGTAGTGGGCGACCTCGAGCGACCACTGCGGCGCAGGATCGGTACATCCGGGTACTTCACCTGCGTCATCGAACAGCTACGGCGACCAGTACCGCTCGACAAATACCCGGTTTGAGGAGGCTTTCTGCACAGACAGTCAGGAACAGGTTGAGAGAGGCTGGTTTACGTGCCAGAAAACCTTATTTTGGCCCTGTGCTTCGACAACAATATCGTCGACATCGAGTTCAATGGTGCACCAACGTTCAGGCCTGGAACCTACCGAATTGGCGTAGAATCTGGTTCAGTGATGAATCACGATTTCTATTGGAACGACGCGATGGAAGAATGCGGGTGTACAGACGTCGACGTGAACGTTTCGCCGACGCTTGCGTTCCCCAGGTGGACAGATTCGGCCGGGGCTGTGTTATGATGTGGGGAGCGATCAGCTGCCGTAGGAGAAGTGATTTGGTGATGATCCAGGGGACCTGACAGCTCAACGGTACTGTGACGAAATCCTACGCCCACACCTTCTTCCAATCATTGATCGCCAGAGGGAGTTGTTTCAACAGGACAATGCCAGGCCCCACACAGCACGTCACACTAGAGACTTCCTCCAGAACCACAACATCAATGTGCTCCCCTGGCCCTCAAGATCACCGGACTTAAACCCGATCGAACATCTGTGGGATGCCCTGGACAGACAGGTGCGACGCCGTAACCCTAGCTCAGCCCCAGACACTTCAACAACTCGCACAGGCACTACAGGCAGAGTGGGCTGCGATTGGGCAACACGAGATTCTGAGACTTATTCAATCGATTGCCGAGGCGATGCCGTGCAGTTCTGGATGCCCACGGAGGTCACACGAGGTATTGACTTCAGCGCCACCACACGTATCCATGTGACACTCAAACTGACATTCCTCGAGTTGGTGCCAAAGACGGATAAGTCTGCATTCCCAGTGTGCAATTTCGCTATATTTCATTGACTCATAAAGCCTACAAAATGTTTCAAAATAAACATAAAAATACAGTTGAAATTCATATATGCGTGTCTTTTGGGGAGAGTATATATATATATATATATATATATATATATATATATATATATATATATATATATATATCACCCGGCCAAGCAGGCCTATGAGACACGAGGTATCAGTAAGTTGATAGGATCAAGTGATTCCAACTATAACATGGTCGATGTGGATGTAGTTTTACAGACTGTGTGGTTAAAAACAAACAAAAATACCAACAAAACAGTTTTTCATAACTCGGTGTAAGAGGACAGTCTAAAACAATTGGCTTTGTTGGGATTCAGGATGACTTTTTTATTTGTTGTTTTTGATAAATCTGAAACTTCAAAGCCCAAGGTCGCCGCGCATCGCATTAATCGTTAGGCAGTTGAAGCTGAATATGCTCTCTACTGTGTACTGCAGCCATTTTATGAACGGTTCAGTACCATGGGGTCGAATTTTGTGATGTTTCAAAACACTGTTTTTGTTCCCGTCAAGTACAACCTCCCTATAAAAAGAATTATAAGATTACTTTTAGTGTAATTAAGGTTCAATTTCGTGGTTAGAACTCGTATCACTGGTTCTATGATTTAATCCATAATGTGCCTTTATATCATATCCAGGTGAGGTACTACCACGCAACACGGAAGTCGAGAAGTGACGTCCAGAAAATAGCGGAAATCTCGCGTGGTGAAATCCTCCCTGGTGACACCGATATCTGGGACGGAGACCCGCTTTTAATACCGCCAGTGCCGCCTTCCAAGTTACCTGGGTGCAGAATAATAGCCCTAGAGTACTTCATAAAGGTAGACGTATTGTTAATCAGTGGTCACCAGTGAAACATTTTCGCCTGGAAAAAAGTATTTCAGCAAATCCTTATAAATCTAGTACAAAATAATTGTGTTTCACATTAAGTTCAATGAAAATCAATTTATTTCAAAGTAATACAATGCATCTTTTAATACATATTCATAAAGATTTGTTTTCGAATCTCACTGCCAACACAACGTTGGTATTGTGCCAACGGGATTGGCGGCACAAAATTGATTTGTTTTAATTTATTTTATTATTGTTCATCGAACGACAATATCACGAATTAATGTTCTTGCTATGGACCAGTCATCCACGTAATGGGGTCGGTGGGGTAGCCTAGTTGTTGAGGCGTTCGCTCGTCCCGCTAATGACCGGGGTTCGATTTCCCACATGGGTACAATATGTGAAGCCCATTTCTGGTGTCCCCCGCCGTTATATTATTGGAATATTGCTAAAAACGGCGTAAAACAAAACCCACTCTCCCACTCACCATGTTAACAAAGCAACCATCCGTTGATATCCACCTACCAGAGTTAACAGTCTTGACAGTTCCAGGAATGACAGCAATTACTGGCAGAAACGTACGTGGCATAAGACAGGGACAATATTCATTCATGTTTGTATAGCGCCAATATCCAGCTCAGCTCGGACAAGAACCTACCCGTAACCCTAGCTCAGTTGCACCACTTGTAGGTTGACATTTGAAACAACATCTCGAAGGCACGTTTCAGTCATCTGGCGTCTTCAGTGCTCCGTCGCTGCCTCGTCTGTATCGACGAAATATGTGATCACACACGATATCGATATTCTTAACTGAGTTGTCTGTCCCCTGTTTCCTGGTATCGGTTTGTCACTGAACTTGTTGGGATAAAACATTGATCAGAAGAATGGCCAAATTTCATGGTGTTATTTTTGGTTACAGAACATTTACACAACATTCTATGAAGATTTTCGGCAGATATATTTCAACGTGAAAATCGGGTTATTCTGTAACGCTGAATGGCTTAATGGTACACCTTGTGAACCGTACCTAGACGATCTAGAAAGGTTTTACATCCACATACATATTCGCTACTGGGTGAACAGCGACACATTTGAAATCCCTTGCACACAGGTGGGAACGAATCACACGTGACACATCTGGTCTCACCGCCGGCAAATGAGTTGGTTTACAATTCCTTCTCTTCACCCAGGGGGCGGTAGGGTAGGCCAGTGGTTAAAGCGTTCGCTCGTCACGCAGAAGACGCGGGTTCGGTTCCGCACATGGGTACAATGTGTGAAGCCTATTTCTGGTGTTCCCCGCCGTGATATTGCTGGAATATTGCTAAAAGCGGCGTAGAACTCACTCACTCTCTTCACCTAGCAGAAATTGGTACCAGGTGGTGTAAATGATATGACCATATTAACCTACTAGAGCCTCACAGACAGCTTGGGTTATCCGGGGTAAATATGTCCTTAATGTTGTATGCGCTAGGATGCTTGTAAGCGCAAAGTGACCTTGATATTTCGCCGTTTTTCAGTTATGTGTTGAGCCTGCGGGACCTGGCTTTCAGCTGGAAATACCTTTGAGAGTGATCATCGGATCCATACCGCTCAGATACACACTGGAACAATACGGGTTCGCTCCTGTAACCCAGGACACACACCAGTCTCAGCTTTACCATGACAGTCGGCCATCTTCAACATCACCGCTACCGTCAATGCGTGAGTTGCATCTCCTTCAGTCGTTGTGACTCTGGATAAAACACATATTTCAACCTTTGCCAGCTTCTAACTGGTACACTAAACCACATGTTAATAATAAACTAATACATACTCATTACTTATTGGTTTCAAGACAAACTTGTCAATTTTAAATATGTTTTTGTTTTGTTTTTTTAAACTGGCCGATATTAAGTAAATTAAGAATATTTACAAAATCTCTAATTATTGAATATTGTTATTAAGTACATAGTTAGAAAGTGATAGAATGATTAAACTATGAGTTATTTATACCACGTTGGGGGTCAATTTAGACAAAAACAGCCACTTTCAATTTTTATATGTTTAAACATTCGACCTCCCGCTTATGATTTGATTTCATTTTTTATTGTTGTGAAAATAACAATCGATTCTGGGCCAGACAATCCAACATAGAGAGATACGATGACAGAGCATGTGTTTGTTTGATTGATGAACGCCTCACTCAGCAATGTTACAGCTGCATGGCAGCGGACGGTGAACAATTGATTCTGGACCAGACAATCCAACATAGAGAGATACGATGAAGAGCATGTGTTTGTTTGCTTGATGAACGGATGCGGACGGTGAATTCTGGGCCAGACAATCAAACATAAAAGAGACAGAGGATTTTTGAAGCTATGTACAGCCAGTGTACCCTGCACCACCCGTGGTACCCGTCATGAATACACGCAAAGGCTAGTCAAATGTTCATCTGAAAAATATTTTGAAATGTACTCCATATGTATACCCTAAAACATTTTGAACGCTTTACTGAAGTTAAAACGCTACGTGGCATCGATGTATAATGAAAAGCTTCTTGTGTTGAAACAACAGACCTTTCTCCAGTTTCATCGAATTTGATTTTGTATTTACTGTTTTAAATAATGTTATATTTTGCCAAGGCCGTGGACATACTGTGTGCTGTTTGCGCAAGCAAAATGACTGGACGCGTTAAACATATTTACGAATGGAATATAATGTATTAAAATCAATTTCTTTTCCCGAGCCCATATTTTTCCACATTGACCTTTGAGAAAATCTATTACCGCGATAATTCTTATCGATGTCGATTAGAAATAAAAAATTATCAATTATCAACCTGAAGTGTCACGAGAAGTAAACATAGCGCATTGTTAAGTTTTTAAACAAGTTGCACACGCTAGAGGCAACACCGGGTGAACAAGTGCAAAGATTTTCAATAGCAACCCAGTGAACTGACATTTTATTTCAGTCATTAATCGATGGCCTTGGTTAGTGACATTTTTGTAATGACATGAAAGCGCTCCTACACAGGGAGAGATGTCATGTTTTCAGATGTACAACTGTTTATTTCACATTCAAGGCTTTCAGACAGATTGGGATAGAGTCTCCCTCATTTTCAATTAGGCGAATAGGTATCGCCGGCTGTTTATGAGGCAGTATATAGACGAGCACCCCACACTTACTTATTCCACACGCATGTAAACAATACAACAAACTGCTGATATCATAAGTAAGTCCCTGTATGGTCAAGTCGCGTGTCTACTTAAAGGCACTATATCACACCACACTTCTCTAAAAATAAATAAAGCTTTTCTTTCAATGATACTAACTATCAGCCCTCGGGGAAGCTACCATATAATGCATTCCCAAAACATTACGCATTTAGATTTCAAGATTAAATTAAAAAGTTCAAATGAATTACTGCAGCGTTGCATTAAATCGACTCTCGCGTCCTCTACCTGCAGAACATTACTAGTATTTCAAGCGAAACCCAGAGAGTTATGTCCCTTTGATTGCTTTTGACGAATCTCCTACGTACTTGTGACTGAAACCAGTTCTGCAAACACCGACAACACTGCGTGCGCCAGTTTTCGATGTACGGAGCAATTGTTTACATTCCCTATATGGCACGTGTTCTCTGTTTGGAAGCTGTTCGCCTCGAAGTATCAAGTATCGATTTCAGACAAGTCGTAAGGAATAATAAGTCTTTTATTGCATCAATAGGAAGGTAAAGTGAGTACATATGCGCCAATAAATATAATATAGGTTAAATAGTGTCGAAAATGTGTAACATTGTTCCTTTAAGTAAAGTAAATTCATGTTAAGCGTGCTAAAGGACATAGCTACAGGTGATATGTTTATCAAAGGTAAAACAATTGAACACTGAATAGCGTTATTTATTTACACCATTTTCGGATATTGAAACAGCGTAGTGCTCATTACTGTTTCTAGGAAAGTTGCCAGGAAACATCTATGTTTCCAACAAGCGTTGAGTTGGGTTTTTTGTTGTTTGTTTTCTTGTTGTTGTTTTTTGTTGTTTTTGTTGTTGTTTATTTTATTTTTTTATTTTTGGGGGTGTTTTTTGTTGTTGTTGTGTTTTTGGGGTGGGGGCTTTGTTTGCAGGGTTTCATTTTCCTAACATTTCGAACAGTATATATGAAAATGCAATTATGCATTATTACATTTCCTGCTCATATTACATGTTGATATTGGTCATTTCAGCTCCATCATACGCAGAAAGCGTGTTTGGGCCAGTGAACATCAAGGATGAGGATGACGACGAGCACACAAAAGGCAATATGAACTTTACTCCAGTGTACACCTTTTACAGCTGGGGAGAAAGAGCTCAGCCTTCAGCACCTCCATCGTAGAGGATGCGTCCCAAACATCCTAAACAAGCAGTACCTCACATAATCTCCCGTTTGTTTTCAGTGGGCTACGGGACGATTGGTTTCACTAGCTAGTTACTGCAGAGATGAAGACGTGAGGCGAGCAAGGAATCTGTGATTGTGGAAACTAATTTCCCTGTTCTTATGGGTTTCCACCAAAGTCGTAAAACCCTGCAAGGCCTCGTGCTCTCAATCCACATCAGGGTGACACTATACTATTAGTGAAGACTGCCTTTGACCAAATTTACCCAAGGCAATTGTGTAAATGTAAAAACTAGCAAGAGCGCAATGCAAGTGCAGTCTTTTCATACAAAGCAATGTCGTGAAATATTTCCCTTAATGTGAGTGTTTCGGTACAAAATTGGTCAGTTGGATGCAAAATGGTCTTCATTGAACCACTGTATCTTTATAAAGAATTATCCAGCCGCTGATTTTACTGTTGGTGGAAATAAGCAGTGGTTACACAGACATAATCAAAGTTAACAATGGATCAGTTTCAAATTGAAGTTTACTTACTCTCGGTATACTTTGTTTTGTCCTTCAGTATACATCGTGCCTTCTTTCGCAACTGCTGTGGCCAGTGTATCGATGTTATCAATCTGTGTCTGTATAGTGATATTGTTATTTGAGTTTGTCGTGTTATGTGTTACGTGTTACATTTAAGGTGCCTTAAATTA